CGCAGCTTAGATGTGACACAAGGCCGAAAGCATGGGGAACCCAATGAGGATTGAACTCCCCACTCGGTTGTCATGGTTCTAGCAAGACAAGTTTGCTAACCATTACACCATGTGAAGGTGCCCAGCTCAAGTCTTACACATGTTGCTAATTTCTTTCACATCGTCTACTGAGTAGGGAAGGTTTTTGATTTTCGTTATGTGGACCATGCGTGTAACACCTGGCTGGCACAACTATCTATGGTGTTTCTTTAACTCCCTCTTTGCAAGCAGCCGAGCTACACACACGAGAGGGGTGTTTAGAGCTGCGTTTTCTTTATCGCATATGGTACGTTATGTCGAACAGAGAGTGCCATCCTCCACCTGGCTATCTACTCATTTTTAACTTTGACGTTTTCGGAAGACTGATTTTTGGTCTGTAATTAGTTTAAAATATCGCCCGATCAAATAATGCCGCTATTTTCTCAGTGATTCGATAATAACTTTTTTTTCTATTGCAGAATGCCTATTTTCTGATTTAGACAAGGTTATGGAGAAAAGTGCTATGGGCCTCTCTGACTGTCTTAAAGAGGCGGCTATGGCGCATTCTGAGGCGTCAATCTCTACTACCAGAAGTAGAGCATGATCAGACATAGTAATGGCTGCTTTCGCTATGTTCATCTTTAACTCATTAAAGGCATTCTCTACTAGTGGAGATAACGGGAGGTTTAATACTACTGTTAGAGGATGCATTTGTATGAAAAAGACGATACCTAATGTGCATAGTGTATAAACTTAGAAGTGATCCCAAACAAGTCTTTCTTAATTGAAAGACGTTTGTCGACGATATTGAGACAGTGGTTCTGTTTCACAATTTATTTTCTTCTTCAGGAAAAATGTGCGTGTAAGTGTGTATGTGCGCGTGTGTGTGTGTGTGTGTGCACGCGTGTGTGTGTGTGTGCTTTTTGTTTTAGTTTTTCCCACGATATGAAGTTCAAAGTCCCAATCAAACATTTATATACAAACAAAAACTAAAAATCCCAAAAAGACAGTAGCAGGTCAGGAAAACATCATGTACGAGACGAGACTTCAACTGGTCACAAACGAGAACTAGGCTAAGATTTAATGAACTCTGCATAACAGCCGAGTTCTCCTGTGAAATATGTGTTCGGTCCAGATCCATTAAAGGGGAATGGATTATACGATACCCTTGAAACACAATCAGAAAGAAGACTATGTTGAGGACTAGATTTGGAATTCTGAAAAAAATTACTTCATTCTAGCATGCTTTGCAGGATTCTACTATTAAATCTCATCCTATTAAATCAAAATTAGTATTTCTCTTTATCCAATACCTGTACAGCGATTGAGAAGGAAGAAGACTATTTTGAGGACTGGATTTTGTTTCCTGAAAATTTATACCCGTGATAATTAAGGAATAAAAACACTTTTTCACATACTCTTGTACGATAGCTAAAAAAAGAAAATATGTAAAGGACTTGATTTGAAATCGTCACATACTTCTGTTCATATAGAACTGCTTTGCGGGCTTCTACTATTAAATTGATTGTAATTAAAAGAAAAGCACGTCTTTCGTAAGACGTCTGACAAAGGAGACTTTATCTTTCGATTTCGTATCCTGAGATTGTTGTATTCATTCTGGAAGCCATTGTATCATTCTATTATTAAATGAGTTGTGATTAAAAAAAAGAAAACGTATTAATCCTTAAATCGACTATTATAGATCGTTATTATTTTCGCTTTACCGAATCAGTTTATGAAATAACGTCAGTCAGAATAAACGGATATGAAAAGAAAAACCTTAAAACATTTTGCAAAATATTTCTACAAGCTGAACTTAATCAGATATCGAAACTGATCCTCTCAAAAAAATGATGTTTTTATCTTTAAAAGAGTAAAAAAAATACAAAAAAAAAACACT